ATCCTTCCAGCGATAAGAAGACTTTCTAAAACCTTGCATCTTGTCAGAATTCACTATATTTTGTAAATATCTGTATATATATATTAAAATACAATACCAATACTCTGAAAGCCGTCTCAGTTATTTTACGGTACAAATATATATATATATATATATATATATATATATATATATATCTAATAAACAAATCCCACAAGACTTGTATATATCTATATCTCTGTATATATCTGTATATATATATCTCTACTAAACAAATCCCACAAGACTTGTCTTTGTCGTTAAAAAACCTACATCCTAACAACCCAAAATTATATGGTCTCCCAAAAATCCACAAAACCAATGTACCTTTTAGACCTATAGTTGCAGATTTGAATTCACCACTAAATAAATTTTCCAAATTTCTGAGCAAACCCCTCTCCATAGTTGCAGTTAATTCTCCTTTCTTTATTAAAAATTCCTTCGAATTTGTCAACAAAATACGTAATACACAATTGCCCAACAACTCCCTCTTAATAAGCCTAGACGTAGTTTCTCTTTTCACAAATGTCCCACTAGAACTAATTTTAGAGTCAATCACAGATAGATGGGAGGAGATTTCTTGCCACACCACTCTTTCCCTCCATTGGTTTCGAGAGTCCATTAAATTCATAGTCGCGAATACTTATTTTGAATTCAATTCACAATTTTATACACAAATTTTTGGTACCCCCATGGGATCGCCTATCTCACCTGCTCTTGCTGAACTCTCTTTACAACATCTTGAAAAAAATGTTTTTAAGCTATCTAATGTTGAATTTTTCCTTTACTACAGATACGTTGATGATATAATTACTTGCATTCCTAAAAATAACTTTGATTCTTTACTAAAAAATTTTAACTCCTTTAATAAACACCTAACCTTTACCTTCGAAAAAGAACACAATAGGTCAATTAGCTTTTTAGATGTAAATATCATAAAAACTACAGATAATAAAATTATTACTAACTGGTACCAGAAACCAACGTGGTCTGGCAGATATCTCAATTTCCATTCTTATCATCCCACTAACATGAAAATCGGTACCATTATCAATTTAGTTGATCATGCTATTCTCTTGTCAGATAAAAAATTTTGGCCTTTTAACCTATCTCTAATCCACAGAACCCTATTAAATAATTGCTATCCTCCACACCTTATAAAATCAGTAATTAACAACAGACTTTCCGTCCTTAACACAAAACATAATCATCTTTCCCTCGAGTCCCAGAAAAAAGAAGAAAATAAGTTTGTTGGCACTATTTGTCTCCCTTACATTAAGAATCTCTTTCCTATTTGGAAAAAACTATTTGAATTCGCGGATTTGCGTTTAGTTTGCAATATTGATCAGACTCTCAACTTTTTATTTTCGAACTTAAAATCACCGACAAGTTTAGATCGTATTTCTAACATCGTATATAAAATTGACTGTACAAATTGTGAGGCCACTTATATTGGCGAAACTGGACAACATCTAAAAAAACGTCTTAGACAACATTATAACAATTCCAAAAATAAAAATCAAAATCAAACAATGATAACTGATCACATACAAAATTTCAATCATATTTTCAATTTTGATGTGGCCACAATTTTATATCACGAATCGAATACATCTCAGAGACGCTTTTCAGAATCTTGTCTGATACACCTTTACAAAAATAGTTTAAACAAAAGATTGGATACTTCCTCATTGTGCGAGAATTACCAAGTAGTCTTAAACAATGTCTCGAAATTCATACCTTTAAAATAGTTACCTATCATGATCGACGTTTAATTATATTAATTTTAATGCCAATTTTTCTTTTTCTTTTTCTTTTAATTTTGATCTCAATTTTACTAATTATGTCCACCCTCACAATTGTCATGTTCTTATATTTCACTATATGTACCCTCTCGCGTTGTCAAATCTTAAATTCTTTGGTCAGTTCGTTTGCCTTGTACCTTAGCCCTCAACATGTGGTTCGCACATTGACGTACATTCAGTAGGCACCCGTACATCGGAGCACAGAAATGTACGGCGCGATGTACTTCACAAATTCATAAAAATCTCAGTCAAAAATTTATATATTGTTCAACTTAAAATGACAAGGATTAGTTTTTTAGTGCACTGTGAACATTTATAATATGAAATAATTAGGATTGTTCATTGTGAACATCTATAATACGAAATAATTAGGATTGTGCATTGTGAACATTTATAATATGAAATAATTAGGATTAATTCAATTACATGTAAGTTCATACCATATCACTTCTTATATATTAGTTTTATTTAATAATTTCTATCTGTTCTTTCAATCTAGAGTCCACTGAAGATGACACAAAACAATGTGTCGAAACGTATGGAATAAATAAAAATGTTTTAAAGTCATACAAATTTTTTAATTGATGTATTGCCCTGAAAACTGAATATCATATATATATATATATATATATATATACTAGCAAAGTACAGAAGTCGTGGCAGAAATTACATAATTCTACTTACATTATTGTTCAATAAAACTATCATTTTTCTGTTTACATCATACAAAAAAATTATATAAAAAAATGCATAGTGCTGACAAGTTAGTTGTATAAATGTTAGCGCCAAATCTCTAGTGCTGTGTACACTTCTCTATATGTAACTAACCAACGTAATATCCACTGATGATGACATTAAATTGAATGTCGAAACGTTTGGAAATAAAGATTATTTTATAAATCTTTGGCTTTTCTTTGTTTGATGTATCGCCCTCAAGAACTCACTCATATATTTCAACATCAAAATTAACTACTAAATCATATATATATATATATATATATATATATATATATATATATATATCCGATGTCGGAGCACAGAAATGTACGGCGTGATGTTACTTTACAAATTCATAAAAAATCTCATCCAAAAATTTATATATTGTTCAATTTAAAATGACAAGGATTGTTTTTTGTTGCATTGTGAACATTTATAATATGATATAATTAGGATTGTGCATTGTGAACATTTATAATATGCAATAATTAGGATTAATTCAATTACATAGTCCACTGAAGATGACACAAAACAATGTGTCGAAACGTATGGAAAAAATAAAATTGTTTTAAAGTCATACAAATTTTTTAATTGATGTATTGCCCTGAAAACTGAATATCACATATTTCAACATCAAAATTATATAAAAAATTTAATATATATATATATATATATATATATATATATATATATACCTTTTACAGAAATAATTTTATGTTCTAACCAAGAAGTGATTATCAAAAACATGGATTCATTTTACAAAACTAATTTAAAAAATTTAAGAGTGCCTTAAAGGCATTTTTTTACTTCTTTACCAAGAATTTCTTTGATAAATTAAGAAAAAGATTTAATTTAACAGAATCAATCAATGTAGAAGATTTTCATCATTTATTAAAATACTTGTACAAGAAAAAATTAAACATACAAAATAATTTTAATGCTAGGTACGCAGTTTTAAAATCATCTCATAATTTCTTAATAATTCTAATACTTGTTTTTTCTTTTCTTTGTTTATACTGTGGATTTAAAGTAGAGGATAAAGCCATTGTTTCATTTTTATACACATTTTTCTCATTAGCCTCTCTTTTACAATGCTTTGCCACTGAATTATTTGAGTCAGTTTTAAATATCATTTTCATACATCCTTATGACGTAGGTGACTTAATAAGTGTAAATATAAACAAAAAAGATATAATTTGTACAGTAAAACAAATTAATGCACTTACCACAACACTTACTACCTTTGATAATAAAATAATATATTTTTATAATACATTGCTAAAAGAACAAGTAATATTAAATTATCACAAATCTAATTACATTTCTACGGTGATTATTTTAAGGTTAGAAAGACGTTTTGATTTTTATAAATTAGAAAAATTAAAACAAGAATTTAGTAATTTTTTACATGACCATAAATCAGAAGGATATGACAGTTCAGTGACTATTGGTATACGTGATTATGAAAAATAGGACAAAGCAGTAATAAAATTGTTTTATAAGATTAATAATAATAGTTTAAGTTATTTTAGATTACAAGAATTAAGATCACAAGCATTAGAACAAGTAATATTATTGTTACAAGATAAAGGATTAGAATATAATAAGAGAGAATTAACCATTAATTTTCAAAGAGTAATGAATAACATAATTTAATTAATAAAATTAAACATAAAAGTATAAAAAAAATATTACTTTTACTATTATTTTTATTTTACATTACAAATTAATTAAGTAATTTAATTATCTTTTTTGTTAATCCATTCATTAAAATCAGTTAAGTTTGTAATACAATACCCAATAAAACAATCATTTACTTCTTTAAAGAATACTTCATCACAAATATTTCTTAATTCATTACAATCAAACTTATACCCATGAAAGAATACTTTACTACCATCATAATAATAAACCAATCCTTTAATATTATACTTCTTATAAAGTTGTATTAATTTACTCAAATGTTTCTGAGAATCTTTTTGTAAATTTAATTTACTTTCGTAAAAGAATGATTTATTATTTGGTAAAACAGAATGACTTATCAGAACTAATTTTCTTTAGTTAATTCTTGTTTAAATTTACTTAATTCACTTTTAATTTTAATTTTTTCTTCTTTTTCTTTCTCTTTTCTTTGTAAAAGTGAAAAATCTTTTAAAGCTTCTTCTCCTGTCTTAGCTACTATTCTTCTTGTATTGGTAGAAATACTACCTTCATAAAATATTTTAAACACTTCTATTTCTTCAGTATTAGACACATGAGTACCGCCACACAATTCTTGAATATTGTTTATACAAATATTTCTTACTTTGGAAGGATATTGTTCTCCTTCCAAGGTAATAATTTCTTCTTTATTTATTTCTGAAAAATTAATTTGATAAGTGATAACCTCTTTTTTAGCTTTGATTACTGAGTGAGTTAACACTTTTTTCTAAATTATTTATCTCTTCATCTGACAAACTTCTATTTAAATTCAAAATCAAATCTTAGTTTGTCATCACTTACTAAACTTCCTTTCTGTTTAATTGCATTACAAATATTCGTTCTTAAGAAGTAATTTAGTAAATGAGTGGCTGTGTGATTCTTTTTTATTTTTTCTCTTCTTTCTGTGTTGTAAGGTAATATTCCTTTATTAGATATGTTGCCTGTAAGGTTACCAAAATGAACCACTGTTTTGTTAATTAATTTTGTGTTAGTTACTTCAAATACACCTATTTCCTTTTCATTTTTATTTGTGTCATATTCATTTAACAAAGAAGAATCTTCTAAAAATATAATTGTACCAGTGTCTCCTACCTGTCCTCCTAATTCAGCATAAAAACAAGTTTTATCAAAAACACACATACCTTCTGAATAATAAAGTAATTTAGCTTTGATTTTATTTGTAGTATATTTAAAACTGACATCCATCAAAAATTCTTGCGGCAAAATAATTTCTTTAGTTGATTTACTTCTCTCTTTAGCCAATTCTTTTTCTTTCCCAAACTCTTCCTCATTAATTATTAACCCATTCTCTTGTGCTAAGATTCTTGCTAGATCTAAAGGAAACCCATAAGTATCGTAAAGAATAAATGCATCTTTGCCTGAAATTTCTTTTTTATTTTTTATTTCTTCGTTTTGGATCATTTTATAAAACAATTGTGTGCCTCTTTTTAAAGTTTTGCTAAACAAAATTTCTTCCTCTTTTACTTTTGTAACATGAATCTTTAAATCTAACAAATTTCCTGCCAAGCTAACAAGCTCACACAAAAAATTCTCTTTTAAATTCAAAACCTCTGTAGCAAACCTTAACGCTCTTCTTGTAATACGTCTTAAAACATAACCTCTTCCTTCGTTAGAATAATTTACTTTATCGTGTAAACATACTGCTATCGTCCTAGAATGATCTGCGTGTCAGTTTGGTTTGGTTTAAAGTATCTTTGTATTCAATGTTAATATGTGATTCTATTAGTTTAAAGAGTGGTGTAAACAAATCTGTTAAGTAATTTGAGTTAACTTCGTTAACAATAGAAAGCAATCTTTCAAAACCAATTCCTGTGTCCACGCACTGTTTGTTCAATTTTAAAAATGAATTTTTGGTTCTGTTATATTCCATAAAAACAACATTCCAGATCTCTAAAACATTTGGATCATCTTTATTTACCAACTGACTGGCATCTCTATTACCAATCTTGTCGTAATGAATCTCAGTGCATGGACCGCATGGCCCTGTTTCTGCCATCTCCCAAAAATTATCTCTAAAACTTCCTTTGATTATTTTTGTAGTTGGCAAATATTTTTGCCAAATACAAAATGTTTCTTTGTCTTCTGGTAGGTCAACTTTGTTATCCGAAAAATAAGTAACATAAATCTGATCTTTGTTAAGTTTTAAAACATTTACTAAGAAATCGTATGCAAAGAAAATAGCTTCTTCCTTGAAATAATCACCAAACGACCAATTACCTAACATTTCAAAAAAAGTGTGATGATAAGTGTCCTTGCCAACATCTTCCAAGTCATTGTGTTTGCCACCTGCCCTGATACACCTTTGTGATGAGGTAGCTTTTTTTAGGTTGAAAAAGTCGTTCTCAATTCCGAGCAAATTGTTTTTAAATTAGACCATGCCACTGTTTACGAATAAGAGAGATGGGTCATCGTTAAATGGAACGGCTGATGAGGATGGCACTTCTGTGTGATTTTTATCTGTGAAGTATTTTATAAATTTTGATTTTAGTTCTTTTGAGTTTAGTTTTAGTGGCATGGGTGAAGTATTTTTTTATAAAATTAATATTGTGATAAAAAAATTTTTTTAAATATTAAATTATTTAATTTCATTATTTTATTTTTTTAAATATTATTTTAGCTTTTTTTAAATATTATTTTATTTTTTTAAATATTATTTTATTCTTTTTAAATATAAAATTATCCTTTTTTAAATATTATTTTATTTTATTTAAATATTATTTTATTATTTTATTTATCTCTTAAAAGTTTAATTCTTTAATTTTATTTTTTTAATAATATTATAAAATATTAAATGTTTTTTAATAAATTATACATTTACTCAACAACATTTGACTTTTCTCCACAGTCTAACATACCACTTTACTGATTTATTAGCATTAGACTCATAAACAATACTTGATAATAGATTGATAGTATAAACAGAATCGCACATCCTAGGGACAATGATAATCTGTTCTGAAGGATCATTAAAAGAAGATTCTGGTTGGTTATCACTAATGACACTGCTAAAATACTTGTATTTGTTCCTCTTTTTCTCTCTTTTGTCAATTATCTTCAAAAATTTTGCTCTGAACTCTCTCCTTTTGTTATTCTGGTATTCATTTGGCAGTAATTGCTTTTTTAGCTTTGGGTTTGTTAGTTTATGATTTATGCATAGGAGCGGTTTTTTCTTTTTGGCTGACATGGGTGAATGGTGAATGAATTTTTCTTTTATTTTTATTGGTAGAATCATTTTTTGATTTTTTATTTTGTAGAAGGATTTGTTTAATAAAATATAAAATAAAATAAATTAATTTATTTTTGAGTGAATCATTCTTATGCTAAAAATGTTTTTAAAGTAAATATTTTAATTTAGGTAAAATAAAACAGGTGCTTATTTTATAAAAGAATGATTAATTTATTTAAATAAAGGATTTCTCCTTTTTATTTTTATAAAAATATTATAATTTTATTGGTTATTTTTTAAAATATTATTAATTTTTATTACAAAATAATATAAATTATTTTATGAGTGAATATTTATAAATTTATGAGAAAAGGAATTCTTTTGTGTATTTAATTTAAATTTTAAAATCAAAATATTTTTTATATAGTCATATCCTCGTGGTCTCATACCTGAAGTCAGGTACTTCTGAACTAACGAAGATACTGTTTTAAGACTTTGTTTTTTATTTCTTTGAAAATTATTTTTCTTATTTAAAAATGAGGGCATAGTAATTTATTTAATCTGTTTAAATAATAGTAATTTATTTAATCTGTTTAAATACTTTTATTCAGCCAATCATTTCTTCTTTCTGATTTAGTGTGTGGTATATTACCACATATATGAACATTACCTTTTTAAAAACAAATCTATTAAAGTATATGAAAAAATTATTTTAAATTTAGTATTTTGATCAAAAAAAATTCTAATTAATTACTAAAAAAAGATTATTCTTTTTATTGTGAATTTTTATTTTTTATTATTTAATCAAATTATAAAATAAAAAATTATTATTGTGATATCAAGCAAACAAAGATAAAGGTACCGATTCTGCCGCAATGTTATGATAAGGTCATGTTATGAAGAATTTTCAATAGTAATATAGACAAAAGTTATGCGGTTGGTGTTCAGTCAGGCGAATTTCTCAGGTTTTCTCATACAAAACATAACCTAAAAGCCGCACAAATGTCAAAAAAACGATGTTAGATAAGTGTGTGTTTCTGATTCCTCTTAGATAACATACAAGTGACGTTGCAGTTTATGCTTAAAACGCCGGAATGAACAGCAAATACATGATATTTTGACAGCATTCAGTATGATTCATTCGCATAATGTATGGAGGTCGGAGCGTAACATAGCTATGCCGTAACATTTCTCTGTTATGCGCAGAATCGGTCCAAAAGTATTACTTTATAAAATGGATCATCCAACATTAAATTATTATATCAGTTAGAAATTGTGGGTTATTGATCCATCCTTGATGGATTACTTTATTTTTAAAGAAGTATTCAATAAAGTTTTGTTTTGATAATTTATTTAAGTATAAAATATTCTCATTAACTTCTTTTTTCCTATAATTTCTCATGTTTACTTTTCTAGGGTTAAAAAATAAATAAAGTTATAAATAAATATAAATTATCATTTTTGTTTTAACAGTTAGGTTAATTTGCCTTGAAGGCGAAATACAACATAATAACAATATTAATATAATTAAATAGTCGTGTATAAATTTATTTTGATGCTTTTTTATAAAATTTCTTTCAAATTATATTTAAAATAATATATTTTGCATTTATATTGATAAATTTTCATTCTCACTTTCATTTCTATATTTTATAGAATAAATATTTTATTAAAGTAAAATAAATTACCCTTTTAGAAACCATGCAATCAAAGGAATAAAAAAATAGTAAACAAAACATTTCGTAAAAATATTTATTGTTATTTTATTACAAAGCGCTGAGTCATTAATGGATTCCGACACGCACAATTAATATGAGCTTTAAATTTATTTAAATAGATTACAAATCAAACATTAATGCGATTGTAAATTAAAAGTAAAAAGAAAAAAAATATTTTAGCTTAAATGCAAAAACCTGAAATTAACCTCAATGAACACATAAAATGTATTCGTGTTTATTAATGCTAATAGAGTATATTTAGAAACGATTTTGATTTCAAGTTCTGTTATGTTTTAGATCTAAACAAAAAAGTATGAAATAAAAATATATACTTTCTGACATTTAGAAACAGAACGAATGTAGGAACTTTACTTTAATAGTAAATATTATGGCTAATCAATCCTGCAAAAGCTGTAAAATAATAGTTAAATATTAAATAAGCGTAAATATGCAACAGACTAGAAAACATATATAAAATTTATAAAATTCTAAGCTGGTCAAATATTGGAATCACTTGTCCGTGAGTGACTAAAAAATCACCTGACTAAAAAATTACGGAATAATATTTTTTGAATCGATTATATTTATACATTCACAAGTATTGTTTATTTTAAATAATTACATTCGTAAGAATTTGCAATAAGTATTGAGTTTTTAAGAGCTTAAATAAATCAATCTTGTTTTTTAAACTAGTATTAGATATATGCTGGAAAAAAATTAAATAAAATTTCTTGTCTAAATTCAACCGTAAACTTCAATGTAAATTTTTAAAATAATTAGTAATGTATTTATTGAAAAATTCATTTCCTTTTTAATGAATATTTATTTGTATATTAAAAACAAAAATATATATTAGATTATTTTAGATTATTTAAAAACCAAATGATTTTTTAGAGCTTTTTCTAAATAACAATGAATTTTTTCTAATTATTTTATACAAACTTCAGAGAAATTTTAGATTTTGCACTAAAATTTATGTTAAATGAAATCGTTTTGGATTATGGATTGTTTTAATTAAAGTATTAAAATTTCTTACAAATAGTAAAAGAGTTATTTAGTTTAAACAGAAACATTTAAATATATTTTTTAAGCTGTTTTGTCAAATTTTATCTTGATTGTATTATATCTTTGAGGCTAAGACCCTGTTTGATCTTCTCTGAAACTAAAGCCTAAAAGATAAGGTAAACTTAGGCAGTTAGTATAGCACAAAGGGTAGGTTTAGCAGGTGAATAACTTTAAGTTTCTTGAGCTGAATTTTATTATTTCGAGACATATTAAATCATATTATTATGCCGAATTAGTATTTAAATAATATATAGAAGATCCAAGATAAATCTTAGTACGAACTTCTCTACTTAAGAAATAAAAATACACAAAATTGAAACTAGTTATGAAATGTTAAATCAAATAATCTATATGCTAATTAGAAGTAATAATAATCTTGAGCATACATATATCATTACATAAATTTACGAATATTTACGTTCGAATCAAATTTTTTAATTTAAAAACTCATCCTCAAATAATACATAACTTTTAATCAACCCCCAAAAAAATATCAATGCAAATGAATAAATGTTATATTACTTTTCTAATAAATAATTAATTTATTGATTATTTATTATTAATATTTTTTCCTAAATGATCTTTTGTTTCTTTCCAAAGTAATCCTTGATGCACTGGTAACCGACGAATTCAACTTATTATTACTTTTACCCCGATTCTTATCACTCAACACACTATTCAACCTTCCTCTGTTATAAATTTGGTTAATTCGATTATTAACAAAACTATTCTCATTCAATTCCTCAACTATTTTATTGCTCCTTTTACTTAACTCTAATTCATTCTTAGCTTTCTTTAACAACTTTTTATAAACTTCTATTTGTTCTTTATAATGATAAACTAAATTTACAGCACTGTTCGACTGAAAAAGTGTAAACTGAAAAGAATCATTAAAATTTTCACTTGGATTTTTTAAAAAAAATTTCTTGGTATCTTTTTGTACCAAAACAAAATTTGTTGAATCTTTACATATTTTACAGTAATCGAAGTTTGATAAACAATTTTCACAAATTAAATGTGAACAATCACCAAGAAAGTATTTTGGTTGGGTGGTTGTTCTGCAGTATTGGCAGTATATTAGTATTTGTAGAATGTGCTCTTCTTTCATGTGATTTATACAAATTTTTTTTAAATAAATTATGATTTTAAATATTAAATTATGATTTTTAAAAAAAGAAACAATAAAGTTTTATTTAAAATTAAAAATGACATTAAAATTTAGGATTTAAAAAATAAAACAATAATTTTAATGTAAAAAAGATCAATTATAGGACC